GGTCAGAAGGACAACTCTTTAACTTGTGCTCAATTAACGCTAGGGACTAGCCGATAACAAACTCGTGCTCTACTTCCCTTGTGCTTAGAGGGAGCATTTGTTAGTAAATTTATTAGGCAAGTGTTAATGTCGGCTTACATTTTTTAGGTTGTGGCTAAAGCCGTGCCCCCAAGCTGATCTTCATATTGCTCCAAAAACCATCCATGCAAGTAACGTCATCCAAAGGATATCCTCACTTAATCTGAAGTCTCTGATTAGGGTAAAAGATAACTACTGGAATAGTAGACTCGCTGAAGTCGAAAGGAAAACAGCTGCGTCAAGGCAGGTGGAATCGTGCACTTCCTTCGTTTTTTTCTAAACCAAAAGACTCTTTATTTCAGTGACGATTAACGGTAGTTCAAACATTTAATGAAACATTTTTTACGCTTCTTCCTAATGAGTTATTTTTGTGAGTTTACAACGCAGATAGAGTAGATGTGCAATTTCATGAAATGTTGGCTGAAATTTCTAAGTGTGTTTTTAAATCGAAAATATTACCAAGTGGGGTTGTTATATCAATTGTCATGTCGCATAATGCCCAGTCACTTCAGGATGTCGGACTTCGGACGAGCCCAACATCGACCGTCTGTGTAAACCAGATACCGTAAAATTGACCACCTAAGTAGCATGACGTTTTCAAATCCATTTTAGATGCCCTAACCAAATTCAAATATACTTAATATAAAACAGGCACAGAATTATTCTTTCGTTTAGTCATCTGGTAGCAAACTACGTTTTCTACAATCTAACTACTAGAAGAAAGAGTGTCTTTTGGCTTGAAAAACCATCTCAACTCCTGAATAATTTTGATCCCGACCTGCTGTTACACTGGAATTTAGGGTTTCCAAACTAGAGGCTGTATGTTTTTCGTGTAGGAAAAATTATAATTTCTATATGTTATTATGGAGAATACATGTACGGCTCATAAAATTTTGTAACGAATATGGATTATGCCGTCCATTTTATACGCAGTATTATTAGATGTACTGGTGCGGCGCTGTATAACTGGGCACTTATGCTCCTGAAAAATATCACAATTGGAAATTTTTCTAAAACCGAAAGGTACGTTCCCATCTAGTGTAAAATTTAAGGAAGACGTAATTTTCCATCAAATTACTTCAAGAAAATATTTTTGCGCTTGATTTCTACAAAATCTATCTCAATTTATTAGGGCACCAAAAATCGGTCGGGAAACTTCCCACTACTTAAGTAGTCGTCTCGTGATATGTCGTTTATGCAGACGGCCGATAAGGAGTCCGTTCGAAGGCCGGCATCCTGACGTGACTGGATTATCTTTGCCTTGCGCAATACAATAACTAATGAGACAACCCTACATAAGTAATATTTCCGCAGTGAAAACACATTTCAGGATTCCAGGAGGCATTTCATGAGACAGGGCATCTACTGTGCATATAAAGAGTAGTCGCAAATCGTTAGAAATGTAAGAGCGCACGGACTGTCGATTAGGAATCCCTGCTGTATAGATCTCACCCATTAAAAATCACATTTGCTTAGTCCTCATGTATATGTGCTACGGTCGCCCGTACACCAAAACCAATCACCTGTCGAACTCCCCACACAGGAGAAATGCATCTAAACTTTTCGAAAGACAGCTAAGAAACACCAGGTACACATCGCACATCAGCGGTCAACTACCTTACGCACACGGCTTGTAAACCATAAGGACAGGCTAGCTACCTCGACAAAAAGGTGTTGTATGCGAAATCCTATATGCTAGTTTCGATGCCGTCTACTGCTGCCAAACTGGGAAATCTGTCTCGACCCGTATGCATGAACATCAGTCAGCGGTAAAGAAACGCGACCATTTATCCCAAGTGGCCAAGCACACGCTGGACATTGGGCACAAATTTGCGTGGTAGAACACTCGCATTGTTGGAGACTGCCAGACAAGGAAGACCGCGAATTCCTGGAAGCAATGCACTGAGATGGGACTTACATCAATCGGAATATCGATCTAGAGGCCAAATAAAAGAACACCAAGGACGAATTCATACTGGCGTACCAATTCCCAGGAGGTGACAAAATCCAATTAACACGCACCGTCCCAGACGTTACCTAGTCCTAAAATTCTTCTTAGACACAGCTAAGAAGTTAATTGTTTTTGTACATTTATAGTTTGAGAATGAGCTGGGGGACCAGTCTCGAAAATTCACATACTAAAAGTTACAGTCTTCTGAGTAATTTTATCCTCCCAATTAAACTGTTTGGGATGCCCGTCTCCCAATTCATATGCATGTATTCCAGTTTTCCTTGTCTTTGTCGTTAACGTTATTCTGTCTATATTACGCGTCGCTGTGTGGCTGTTGGTTGGGCTCCCGAGAGAGAGCCCTGAGGCACAACGGGACAAGTGAGTTCCGTAACACGATCGGTGAGCATAATATGGACAGAATGTTATTACCGACAAAGACAAGGGAGACTGGAATGGTCCGTTGACCTGTCGATTGTGATCGGGAATATCAGTCGTGACAGATCTTGGATTCGAATCTCAAGTGATCCACAATTGGGGTTGGCATGACTGGCCAATGACGGCTAATAGGCCAGAAATGACCGCTCCGGTCTCCCTAGTCTTTATCGTTAATGACATTCTGCTTATATATATGTGTATGTGGTAGAGAGCGCTCACCGATCGTTCATACGGAACTCACTCCTTCCGTGGTGCCTTAAGGGCTCTTTCTCGAGCCTAACCAGCAGCCGGACAGCCATTCTGCCTATATATCATGCGCCGCTGTGCGGCTGCTGGTTGGGCTCGAAAGAGAGCCCTTAAGGCACAACGGAACGAGTGAGTTCCGTATGAACGATCGGTGAGCGCCCCCTACCATTGTATATTCCCGATCGAAAACCGACAGGGCAACGGGCTCGTGGCCCGGTGGATAGAGGCGTTGACTTCTAAACCAACAGGTCGCGAGTTCGAGGCTCGGGTGTTCCACACTTCGGGCTTGGGTATGGCTGGCTGACGACGGCTAATAAGCCAGAAATGGCCATTCCAGTCTCCCTTGTCTTTGTCGGTAATACCATTCTGCCTATATATGTATGTATATATATATATGTACATATAATGGTAGAGAGGTGTTCTGGCCGCTTCTGGCTTACTGGCCCTCGCCAGCCGTTTATACCGAGAGTGTGGAATTGCGTATAATATAAAAACTAATCTAAATTTTAGGATGTAGTTTCGGCATAGAAGGATTATTTATGCTACGTTGTAATGCTGAGCTCCCTCTAGCTCAACCCTAATTATATCAGTTACCTCAGGATGCCAACTCTCGAAGGTATGCGTTTTCAGTAGCTGAAAATGACCACACGAGGCGCATGAGCTTTCCCATGATGACCTTATAAATCTTTGAAATCCACTCTGAAAATATCGCCCTCTTTGTTATTTTTTGAGTAAACTGCATCTTTCTGAAGTTTCTTTCACTCGAGGAAAGAGTAGGTTTCATACCAGAAACGTTGTAATCCTGCATACTTTTAAAGCTGTGAAATGCCTGTTCAGGTAGTGTCGTGTCTATTCGTTTATTAAATCTTCCTAGGGAGTATAGAACCTGCTCCATATCCAGTGCGCAATTTTACGAGCTATCTATATCGCCTTTTTATGGCATAGAGGAATGCATGACTTTCCTTAATTTTGAAGTGTATAACTTATAGTTTCGGAACTCTAAAAGCACGTGAAACGGCAGATCGGGTGCGAGAGCAATTTACCATAAAATCGAGTGAACGGCAGAATATTTTTCCACAAAATATGTTTGAGCTAAAAGGATGCAAAATCAAGGGAATAGTTGTATTACTTAAGCAGTCACTTTAGCGAGTATGATTTTTGCTGGCGGCCTTAGTGGTACGCATCCAAAAGCCAGCATCCTGGCCTGGTAATGCAGCGTGGTTCACAATTGTAGATAAAACTGAAAATAAGAAATCCCGGAAACAGGTGAGAAGGGAAAGACGAAACGACACCTCAGTCAATAATTGTTCTGCTTAACATTTCAGATTTCCACTCGGGCTCATCATCAGAGACAATCGCAAGTCTCATGGCATGCAGTTGTCATGCAATCACATACCCACCATAAATGACAGCTCTCACATGCATCATCGATTGGTGCGATACTGTCTTAACGATCTGCATCTGGATCGTTAGTTGCTGCATTTTCGTCAATGGTGTTGACTAGTGACCTGGTAATTACTCCGTCATTTGACTCCCTGTTGCCGTTACTGAAAGCGGCGTCAGCGTTGGATATGGAAGAGGAAGAAGAAGAAGAGGAGGAGGAGGAGGAGGAGGAGGAGGAGGAGGAGAACATCGCGCTTATTACTCAACTGCGGGCCTAATAACCCTGCCTTACAGTGTTGCTACCTTTCTCGAGAACATCAGCCTGATTACGACTAAAGGTATGGTCGCGTCCTGTCGAATGAATGGCGAACTGGGAACAGTCGTCATTTCATCTCCCCACTGTTATTGCACGTCTGACCATCCGCCGTCGGTGTACTTTCCCAGTTTCTCGAAGTATCTGCTTTGTCGTAAATGCACCATATCTGTCAAGAACTCCAGACGGCCGCATGAAGTGGCGCCTGATGACTGTCCCCTGTGTGTGCAACCTAGACTTCAAGGGATGTGAAAAGGCGGCTGACGACTTCCTAGCCTACTGACCAAGGCCTTCCTCCACTTGCCTACACGGAAGAAGGCAACTCGAGTGCGGCCCCGATTGCGACACCGGCAGCTATTGAACCAAGTTCTCGTTCGGAAGCGAGATCGACGGGACGCGCTGGTAACCAAGGCAGCCTGCAACGGCGACGGCTGGACGGATCATCGCCTCGTCGTCTCCAAGATGAAGATCCGACTACAACCGCGCGGTAGGCCACAAAGTAAACAACCACCAGGTAAGCTAAACACTGATCTGTTGTATTTGCCTGCTCACTGTTTCCATTTCAGCAACCAACTGACCCAGTGACTGGATGACATGCAAGCTCCCGATAAAAACCTCTCCGTGGACGACTGGTGGTTCCAACTGCAGGACGCTATTCGCTCGACCGCCCTGAGTGTTCTCAGATACGCATGTCGCAAACATCAGGACTGGTTTGAGGACAACGACGCCGACATCAGCATTCTGCTCGCTGAAAAGCACAGGCTTCACAAGGCCTGCATGAACCACCGAATAGACGTCAAGAAGGCGACGTTCTTCCGCCATCGTCGCATCGTTCAGTACCGACTGAGGGAGATGCAGGACACCTTGAGTACCCGCAAAACCGAGGAAATCCAGAGTCATGCTGACCGCAATGAACTCAAGAATTTCTCATCACTCAAGGGGATCTACGGCCCCCAATTGAGGGACCAACGCTGCCTCTCAGCTCCGATGGAACTAAACTTTTAGCCGAGAAATGACAGATTCTGAAGCACTAGGCCGAGCACTTCAGAAGCGTCCCTCTCTGCAATCTCCGGCGCCGACATCGACCGACTACCTACGAATGACGACTTGGAACTGCCGCCTTCTCCCCCAGACACAATTCACACTGTGCACCAACTGTCCAGCAGGAAAGCCCCGGGATCCGACGCGATTCCGATCAAAGTCTACAAGCACGGCGGCATCCGACTAATGGCTCAACTCTCAATGCTATCCTCTTCAGCCTCATGCTTCCTGCCTTGCTAATGCACGCCTACCGTGAGGAACGCCCCAGGATGCCCATCGCTCACAGGACTGACAAGCATCTTCCCAACAGCATGCAGCCGCCAGCGCGTCTCTGCACGACTACACTCTCCACTACTTGCTGCTCGCGGACAACTGCACGCTCAACAGCGTGTTAGAAGCTGACATGCAATGGATTGTGGACTTCGTCACCGGCGGGCGTGCCAACTTCGGACGAACGGTGGTCATGCACCTACCGTCACCAAACACGGAATACAACACTCTGCGAATCAATGTCCACGATAGCCGACTTAAAACAGTGGACAACTTTGCTGATTTACAGTAGATGTGCTAAGTAGTGAAGTGGTAACCGAAGTTCTGAAATAGGTTTTTGACTCAAAAAGATAACTTGAGTACCGTTGCGATATTAATAACCGTGCAGCGTAGTCCAGTAATAGGCAGAATGATATTACCGAACAAAGACAAGGCAGACTGGAATGGCCATTTCTGACTTATTAGCCGTCGTCAGCCAGTCATGCCCAACCCCGAAGTGTGGCACACCCGAGGCTCGAACTCGCGACCTGTTTGTTAGAAGTGCACGCCTCTAACCACTGAGTCACGAGCCCGTTGCCCTGTCGGTTTTCGGTGAGGCCTCCGTCACGACCGCAGGTGTTGATCAGGTGTCTTTTGTTCGTTTTAACGATAACATCTCCGCCCACTTCACTGCTTACTATTGACTTCCGAGATGGTCCGAGTTAAACCATCTACACTACTACGTCTGGGGCGCTGCAGGTGTGGAGATCAACAAGCGTGCTTACTTTTTCAAGGCTGCCATCGGCGGCGTTATGGCTAAAGAAAATACGAAACGTCTGTTTCAGAAGACGCGCTAGGTTTTAAAAGGAAGTAGGGGTGAGTTTATGCAATAATGCTATGGTATGCAAATACTAAAGAATATGGGCGCCCTAACGACGAGCTGTGCTGCAGATGCGTCGCACCGAAACGATGGTCAGGCCGGTTCACGACAGGTGCTAATGGGAC